TAATTAAATTTATTTTTTTTTTTATAAAAAATTGTTTATTTTTTATAAAAAATTAAAATCCGTGTTTCAAACACTAGAGATTTATTCTAAAAAAAAAGTATAAATAGCAAAAATAAAATATAAATAGTAATTCATTTTGAATACTTTAATTTATTAAAAAAAATATTTATTTAAAATTTTATTAAATAAATGTTCTAAGCAAAAATATTTAAAATTTTATTAAATAAATCTTCTAAGCAAAAATATTTAATAAAAATAATTATATAATTTATTTATTAATATTATTTGATGCAGTATTTAAACATAACTAAAGATTTTAAATATCTAAAATATATAACACTATTATTAATTAATTATACAGAATTAAATAGTTTTCTGTTAATCAAATTTATTTGCTTTATCTTATCATTTATATATGCTATATGAGTAATCAAAAGTAAAAACCAAGAAATTTGATATTGTAAACAAATAGTCTATACTTTGATAAATTTTAAGGCAATTTAAATACTTTAAAAGTAGAAAGAGTTTTAAATCTTAAAGTTTTTTCTTACATTTAAATTACTGAGATTATCTTAACATTTATCAAGATATAGGTTATTAACGCTTAGATACTAATTTTTTTTTTTTTTACAATATCGAGTTTTATTCTACATTTGACGATATATTTTAATAAAATTATTTTAGTCTTAGATTTCTTTTTTTAAAGCTGCAAAATTTATTTACAATATAAAAAGAAAATTTTGTTAAAGTAATAATAGTACGAAATTCCAAGTTAAAGCTCTACGTATTTTTTTTATAGTGACCTGCTAAATTTCATAATCCTGATTTTATATAGTTAACTCATATAATATTGGTATATTGGTCTCATAAAGAAGCGAAATGTAAAAAAGCATAAAAGTAATTATATCTTATAGTGTAATTTGCTATATATCTTATAAAAAAGCATAAGTTTAAATGGCATAAAAAAACCATATAGAAAACGTAACATAAAATGTCATAAGATACATTTTATAAATTAAAATGTCGAAAATAACATATAAAAAAGCATAGTTTCAATGTAATAAGCTAATATTAAATGTAATAAATGTTCATATGTACACAATTATAAATTTCGTTACAATTTAAGGCTAACTTGTATGTACTATTATATACTATATCGAAATATATTTAGAAAGAATGGTTAAAAATACATTTCATAAGAAATCAGTGAATCATTTAAATTATCATGATATTTTGTTGAATCTGATAAGTTATAAGAGGAAGGTAATTGTTCATCAGACATCTCATTGAAATTGTTGGAATTTATAAAATTGCTTTGAGTATCGAACATTCCAAAAGAATTTGTTTCTGAAATATAATTAGAGAAATATGAATCGCCAAATTCATATTGCCTATCGTCTATAAACAAAGAGTTATTATTGGTATTATCAATAAAATTCCAAATAGTTTGTTGATCTACTTTAATTGATGAATCAAAAAATTGTGTAGAAAGAATTTCTAAATTCGGTGAACTATTACCGCTAGGAGTTCTGGATATGTCAGGACTTGAATTAATATTTTTATCGTTATTATCATTTTGTATTTCAGTTACAAGTTTATCATTATTAACCGATTTTATAGGTTTAGAGACTTTAGGTTTACGAGTAGATTTATCAAATGAAACAGTTCTCCATTTGTTACTTTTTTTTGGAGATTTAATTTTAGGAAATAATTCATTATAATAACTAAAAGCCTCTTTCGCGATTCTCTTATATTCTTTTTTAACATTATCAGATTCATTATCCCATGATTTTGAAGCCATTGAAGAGATAATATTCATAGGTAAGTTATAACCAAAGGTACGAGCAGTTTCAAAAAATAATTTTCGATAGATAATAAAGGTATTAGGAGGTCTAGGGACATGACCATTAGGCCGTGGAACAATCAAATCACGAGGATTAATTGTGGGTGGGAATGGAAGTGCGAATAACTGCGAATTTGTGGTAACTTTTTGCATAACGGAATTATTAATAGAATTAATAAATACGCAAGCACGAGAGGCCGGTTGAGTATCAGCTAAAAAACTAAAGTGTTCTTGTTCACTCATTTGCAACTTTTGTGATAACAAACTTTTACACTTTAGAATTTTTATTTTTTTACTTTGTGCGCTGAACTAAAGATTTGGATGAAAATTCTCTACTATTTATGTTTTTTTTTTTTAATATGCTAAAGTCAAGTTAATAAATTGATTATTAATCAAATAACAATAGATAATTAATCATGTGATTAATATAATAACTACCTTTAGTTCGGCTTTAAATATCGATATCGCAAGTATGGTTGTTTACTAAATTAGTACATTATCGATTATTCTTTAGGTTTCCTAAATTATTATTAACGCAGGCTCAAATTATGATCAATAACTGGATGCCAAATTGAAAATCGATAGTCAATTCTCATTGTAGACAATCGAATAATATATATTCTGGTATGTAAAAAATTTTTGAAAGGTTGGTTGGGAACTTTTTGGTAAATCAAAATCAAAAACTAACATGTCAGGATTTTCTGCGACAATATATTAATATTAGCTGGTTTTAGTACTTATTCGAACCTTTTATTCTCAATTTGGTTGAATACTACTTCATGGTAACATGGTAGTGTGAAATTTTAGCAACTTATAGGACTTTATAAATTACCGTATTTAACATCTAAATTGTTTCTAAAAATATTCTATCGCTATGCGGGTTTGCCTAAGTGCATAAATCCACCACGAATTCTCTAAATATATAATGTACATACATTACACAGCAGCATTGACCTGACGCATGACGATAGTCATGCTAAGGTTATTATCGCGAGGATTACCTCTAACCCGGAATTGATTACTTAAAGGATATTTGTGTAATTTGGAATTGGCATTGTTTTTTTCCTTCGCTGCCCGACTCTGTTCTGGCTCTTTCGTGCTGTAGCCCCTCCCGCCCCCCAAAAAAAAGAAAAGAACAAATAAAAGAAATTAAAAGAGAATACGGATACCTTCGTCCTTCATGCTGTGGCCCCTCCACCAAAAAAAAAAGAGAAGAAAGAAAGAAAAGTGGAAATAAAATGAAGGAAAGGAAATTAGTGGAAATATTAAATTGAAATGAGTTGCTTGGGGACATGTTTTTCGACTTGGAGTGGCCTTGCTTGATAACTTGCTCTCAGGGTAAATAATATAAAGGAATTCGAGAAAATTTGTTTTATTATTGTTAGCGTGAGCAATTTTTCCGATTGCGGCGTGTCACGCACATTGCTGATCCTCGGTAAAGCTTAATCACGTGACCATTGTATATATTATTCATTTATATTATTATTATTATGTAATATGGCGCTTAGAGCTGCAGAGTGGCACTACTCCCATAGTGTATTTCATCGAATAAATAAATATACCCGAGCAATAGATCGACGATCATAACTAACTTATTTTTTTGATAAATATAAATCGCAGTAGTTGTGTGTCGCATTGTATATATGCATTTAGTTATTTATAAGAGTTTTTCTTTTTGTGTATGATTATAAAGTATAGAAATTTATATCTAAAATTTAATAACTTGTAAACAAGTACATTGTAGATGAGCGACATATGACGATATCTTACCCAACGTAGCCAACAAAAACCTCGGGTATGTATTGGCAATGGTGCATTTCTTGCGCGGAAATCTTACATATAAAATTTTTTTTCTTTCTAACCAATTTGCGTCTTTTGAATATATATTATTAGTTTAGAAAGATAATGTATACTATATTTACAACAAAAGTTAGGATGAATATTAAAAATTTCCAATTGAGCAATGGACTGAACCAAGTAAAAACTCAAAATGCCAACTCTAAAGTTCGTTATATACAGTACATTTACTTTAGGGTTCGATGTTATTAGTATAGATAGTGAATTTATGATTTTTTGTTTTGAGTGCGAAATTACATAAAGTTTTGAAAAACAAAGGTTTTCTAAACGGTTTTATTTAGTTTTTCCTATTCGTAATTATTAACAGTCATTTACGCATTTACTAATTTTACTTCCAAGTAGTGGTGCGATCCGCAATCCGTATGCTGCAAATCATCTAGACATCCAAAATTGCAACTCTTCGATAAATATTTGAAGTTTCACTAAAAAATATACATTGCCTTTAATAAGACCCACAAAGCAATGCTTATTCCTCGAGAAGATACAATTTTAAAAAAAATTCATAACACAATTTAGTGTGGCTTAACTAGGGTTGTTAACGGAGTGGGTTGGGCTAAAATTAGATGGAGCAAGCCTTACTCCAGCCCAACACGGGTTATACTTCAAATTAATACTCTGGGTTGCACTCCGGGTTGTAATCCAGGTTGTACTCCGGGTCATGTTTTTATTTACGAGATTCAATTCAGGTATTGAAATTGAATCTCGTAAGGTAAAAGAAAAAAAATCCTGGTATAACAAACCTTCATTTTCTCAACTCATTATAAATATAGCATATAAAACAGTAACCTATTGTATAACAACTTTAGAAGTTATTTTAAAAACCGTCAACTTGTTATAGAATTATCTGAGACTTTAGTAATCTCGATATAGTCTCACTTGAATAGTCACATATTACGTATTAACCTGGTGATTATATCGAGGTTATACGTAATTTAACATTACATTATTGCACGGGCCTTATGTGACAACCCGTGCATTTTTCATTAATTTATTGGCACGGGATTGTTACGTCAGACACCGTGCAATAAGATAGTTATTGTATGGGTATCGAATAACCCAATTACACACACGAGTTCATATTTAAATCCCGTGCCTTCGGCACGGAATATGAACCCGTATGTAACTAGGTTATTCACTACATACCCATAAAATAACTATAAAGTAAATTATGGGACTATAGTATTTTAATGCTTTTACAAATTTTGCAGACTTCAAGCATTGAAACCGGTCAATTAGAAATATATTATCGCAAAACTAATATAGCAAAACTTACACAAGAATTGGCTGCTAATTTTAATAACTTGGCTAGCAAGCTAAATATAGAATATATTATTGACATTATGAATGCAGACAATTTTGATCAAGCTTTAGAAAATACAGTAGTATATCTGATCGTGATTTATTTGAGACGATTATTAATAATCTATGTAAACAAAATCATGCACTTATATTTACATCGATCATAAAAATTGACGTGATATAATAATTTTTGAAGTATCGGATACTGGTTAATAGTCAATTTATTTGGAAAAACATTTCAATGGATTCAAAATAATCAATTTGAAAATAGAGAGTATACAATGAACCAGGATATTTACGGATCGCCGAGTTGGAATGTATCTAACAACAATCTAAGAAATAAAGTTTTGATTGTTGACAATAACATTGATACGCGGTAAGTATTTTCTTAATTAGAACTTTAAAAGATTATTCTAAACATTTCATTATTTATAGAAATTATATAGAAAGATTGTTAAGAAACGATTTTGACGTTTGTTATGCTTGTGATGGTGTGATGCTTTACAAATTTTAACAAACCTACCAAAATTACCGGATTTAGTTTTTAGTGGTAAAAGCAACTATATTTCGAATTAAATTTCAATCTTATTTCGAATCATAAGCTTGCGCGTTAATTATTACATTAACTCGATATATTGAAATTAATTAATAAATTAAATTTTAATTTTCGATTGATCATCTACGCATTTTAAATCCTCTGATCTAGATCGGTACCTTATAAATCATGGCTCACCGAAATACCTTTTAGTAATATTAATAAGTAAATGAGCAATTGTTTAAAATTAAAATGAAACTTTGTAATTATATCATTGTTCACGTTAAACTTAGCATTGTCGATTGTTTTTTACTGTATTGGATTTTGTAGAAAGTGAGCGATACTAGCAATTTAAACGGGGTCCAAGTACTGTTTTGTTGGCTAATTTAACGCACGATATTTTTTATCACTAATTTGTGGATAGTACAAATTTAGTATCAAACATAATATGCAAAACATTTAGCAACGGCCTAAAGTAATTGAGAAGCATGTCTAAAAGATACTTTTTTAACAATTAATAAACTAACATTAATTTCTAATCTCAGTAAAAATTTTAAACAAAACGTGACAGTAATAAATAAACGCTCTCGACTTTTAGGCAGAATGGTTGCCACTATAGATGCTGGTGAAACTGGTGAAACGCTTTGGTGAATGGTGGTGAAACTGGTGAAATTTAATATAACAACAAATCACATTTTAGATAGTCACTAGTTTCACCAGCATTATTTAGTCTCACCAGCATCTATAGTTGCCATGGTGTTGATCTGTATGCTATGTTAAATTTTAAAGGTTATTAACAGTTAAAATGATTTGTTCGGTTTACTTAAATGAAAAACCAATTTGGTTATTTCTTGACAGTTAAGAAAATTTTATGCTGATCAGTTAAATGAGCTTCTAGTGATCAAAATTAGGCACTGCGCCAAATTAGGCATACGTATTTAACTTTTTTGGAAAATATTGCATAAATTATACTTTATTATTTTCCCAAAATATTAGTCAATATTATAATAAATGTATATTTATTATCTATTATAGAACATGTTTCAATTATTTCAATTATATAACAAATAGCACTCAAATATTCACTTGAATAATGATTTAAATTGTGGTGAGTTCAGCATTTCCCTTATATATTTGATTTGTTGGAGTGGGGTAAAACTAGCAGAATGACTCTTATAATTATTTGCCAATTTTCTAACATGTTTCTACAAATACAAAATAGAAATGAAATATGTATAATTCTTATTATAAAACAAAAATAAATTACAAAAAAATAAAAAAAATTATATATCTCTATTAACACCAAGTGAGAAAAAGTAGATACAAGTAATGGAGTAGTTTCTTTGTCTGTTACTAATTTTGTTTTATAGAAAGGCTACATTCTATACAATCCGTTATATTCTAAATCCATCAAATATGATTCTATTATTTCACCTAGAATGAACAATTAGTGAATACTGTCATTAATTATAACAAAAATAATAAACAAATCATACCCATATTCATAAAAAAAATTGATTCTGTGAATCCTCCTTTCTTGTTTATTAATTGGTTAATTGCCTTTTTTGCTCTCAAATTAACCTTAATACAATCCTTTTTTTTTTTGTAAAATAGTACAACTGAGTGGCTTTACTTCAGAATTTAGAATAGATATGCTATCAACTATACAGTACATACAAAATCTGGTCTTTTTTTGTACTATAGACTGCTTAATTTAATCTTAATTCATAATTTTTGTATGAATCACTGAATATTAGTCTGGTAAGAGAATCTAAATAATAGTAATGATGCTCATCTTCTGAAATTTTTGGTTTGGGCGATAGTGGAAGTCATTTGTTCTAGAATATATCAAAAAAAAAAAACCTCCATTCACATTTAGGTCACATCTAATCAATTTTCAACAAATAGTTTGACTTACATGTTATTAAAGATATGAATCGAATAGCAACTTGTCTCAATTCAATATCATCTGTTTTAAAATTATTCTCAATTCCTAATACATGAAAATTAATTGCTTCATACAATGAAGATGAAAGTGATTTTGAAATAATAGATTAGGTGATTTTATATAGGGATGCATCAATAATTTTTTTCTATTCTTTACTTGTAAAAGTTATATATAGATATAGCCAAGTTATAATGATAATAGATAATAAAACTCTAAAATATAAAAGAAAAACAAATTCAGTACCTTTTATATATATGATCTGAAATACAACCTTCTAGCAACTAGTTTCAGGAAATACTAAATCAAAACCCAAAACTATATTCGAAACCTTTCAGAAAAAAAAAATAGTTTCAGGTCACAAGTATAGTACCCTTATTATGAGTATATAATATAATTTTACTATAAACTTACAATAACTTATTCGTATCATTCTAAGTTAATCTCTTTCTATACAATTTATTGTTATAAATGATTTGTTTCTGATACTTTCTAAACTTTTTAGTAATATTAATTGTGCCAACATACTACTGAAATACAGAAATAATATTCAAAAAATTATAATTTACATATAATATATAAGGACAAATTTAATTTACTGTATACCTCATTTGATAACTCTAATTCTATTAATTTTTCTAATTCTTCAAAATCAAATTCAATTATATCATTTGATTCATCATAGATCTTTCTATCATTGCTATTAGACAAAAAAAAAAGATTCAAAAAAATTCGATATACATATCCTTAGCAAAAAAAAATATTACTTTTAGACTATCTAATAGTTTATTTGGTATTTTAATCTATTATGTATTTAAAGAGAAATAAATTGTCTGAGTTAAATTATTTCTAATTTTATTATACTATTAAAATACTTTTATTAAGTAGTAACAAAAACTAGTATCTAAAAAAATTACCTTCTTGCTTTTATTTTCTATAATTTCATATAGAGAAATACACTCTTCCAAGTAATTAGAAATGTCAAAAGTACTTTGTTCATCCAATATCAGCTAACTCTTAATAAAATTAGATTTAGTTAAATTTTCTTCAGTGATTTCTTCAAAAAAATTATTAATCATGCTGTTTAACTCCTACAGAATGCAAGATTAGTATTATGAAATGACGATGGTAAATAGCGATATAAGAACTTACAAATTCTTTTTCATTATTACCATGATCATAATCTTTTTCTTCATTAGTATCTTTTTTTTTTCATTAGTAACATTTTTTTCTTTATTAATACAATTTTTTTCTTCTCCTTTTTCTACATTGTATCAGTTTTTTTCCTTAACTTTTTTGCTAAAAGTTCTTTTATTAGCCTCTACAGACCAAACTACTATGCTATCTGTGATTATCAGTTGATAGAAGTAAACTGAGAGTTTATTTACTGAATTGTGTATCTTACTTTCTCTATGTTCTTTCTATTATCATACTATTCTGTAATCAGGTTAGTTGCCCTAGAAGAAAAGAGATATCAGTTAAGAATGCTACTAATTTTTTTATATCTCTTATTTTTATCCTTCTAGTGTCTGTGCAGGATTTAACACCAGATGAGTACACAGCCCCTAGTATCCTAGGAGAGCTAGTGCTAGGTCACTATGCAAGCTTGAACATCAGATGAGTATATAGCCCTCAATACTTTAACACTAGCTTTGTAGCTTAGCTCACAGCCTTGAATGATAAATAATCTATGCAAAACTTTATCATACTATTTATTCTTATATTCCTAATAAAAAAAAGCAAAAAAAAGGTTTTACTACAAAATCCCAAAAGATATATTCTTAAAAGAACCTAATACTGACAAAGTTAGCTAGTATTAGTCAGTATTATACTCTTTTGAGAAAATAGTTTTTGGGATTTTGTGGTAGAACCCAAAAAAAAAAACTCGTACTTGCTTCCTTATAGTTACTTAGCAAAAGTACTACCCTTTCATATTTCTTGCCTTTCTCTCTGCTAGTAGCAATCTTAAGAGATTTAATATATAATACTATTTTGTGATTGAATGTCTCAAATTCACTCTCTTCAAAGAAATTAGTAATATTCCATTTTGTCTATAGCTTCTTGAAATATCTGTCTATTTCAGATTTGGATATGATTTTATTTACAATATATTTTAATAGAGCAAGTTTGATTTTATTGGGATTTATACTGTAAATACACATTATAATTTTTGAGTGATTATTTTGTATTATAAAATTGTTTATAAATAAAGTAAAATTTTAGAAAATTCATATTTAGGTGCTGTTTAGTAGAAAAGGGAAATCTAGATTAATACGTAATAATTACAATTTTGTTTTAGTCATAATATTATATTACTATTATAAATTGGGAGAGTGATTAAAGTGTATAGTTTAGCTCTGATAGTTAACATAATACTAGGTTTAATTATCTAATTATTATGAGAATAAGTAATATCAGCAGATTATTTATATTTGAGTCAATAGTTGTTAATCAGAAGGGATGATATTTTTAAGGGTAGATCAAAATGATATGATATCTATAAGAGTAGTATTACTATTTAATGTACTATAATAAAACTAATAACTTAAACATGATTTATGCGTTGATCACAATACTAATAATAAAACAATCATAATGTTCAAATAATTACTAATCCTATTTAACAATCCAAATAATGATTTTACACATGACGTTAACTTTTTAAGAATACAGTTCTGAATTACTCAGTGAAAGGTCTATTTGGCCTCAGTGTTTACTTCCTTTATGTTAATTAAGAGATACAGCATATACTTTAATAAATAAATAAAAAAAACATAGTGAGAGATCGATTATTTAATTAGCGAGGTTTTATATTTTTGAAGCTTAAGAGTTCGAAATTTCAAAGTAATTATGAATTTGTTTTTAATTATTAATTTTTATTTGTAACTTATAGTTTGTAACTTCAGAACTATCTTCTTTGAGAAGGCCAAAAAAGACCTATATTTATATATTTTTGTTCGTGAAAGCTATACTAAGTAATTTCTATAAGATTATTTTGCACAGATCTTTATGAGCAATTGTTTATTTTCTTGTGAGTAGTTGTTTGTTTCTTCGTGAGCAGTTGCTTTACCTGTAATTAAACCATTCTAAGGTAATACAAAGCAATACTACTCATATAACTTATCTATAGCTTATTCTATTATACATAATAGCCCTAACTGCTCATATTAATGTTTTACACTTGCCTTAACTACTTATATTAATATTTTACTCTTGCCTCAACTGCTCACCATTATGTTTACAAGTATAGCTGCTATGGTTCTTAAACATAAACAAGGGTATAAGCAGGACAAATTACAAATAAATAACTATATACTGAAATAATGAAAAGAAACTATAATAATATAAATAAATAAATAATAAAAATAAAAAAAAAAAATAAAACTTGTGACTTGAACTAGGACACCAATTTATATTCCAACATATTCCTCCTTTTGAACTTGAGCTCCTGCGAAAGTTCTATAAGTTTCAAGTAAGTATATTTCTTTTTGGCTTCTTATAGCTTTTGTCTTATCAACTAACTTTTTAAAGTTATTTTCATATATTTTTAGTAAGGCATAGGGTGTAATATTTTTAGTACCAAGGAGATTCAGGACACCTTAGTAAAAATATAAGATGTAGATACAGAAAGCTGTTTTCCAAATATTTTCATAACTATTTAGGAATTTTTCTTAGACAATATTTCAGGTGAAGTCTTCTCAACTCT